TAATAATGAGCTTATCTAATCCAGTGATAGAGTAGGTTTCTATAAATTAAATCATTTTTATAACCAGTTCGGTAGTTCCAGAGATTATTTCTAACAAATTAACATAAAATTTACGAGTCGAAGCCAAAATGTAAGTATGGTCTAAAACATTTCCATGCGGGAATAGAACCTGCGATCACCTGCACATTAGATAGTCGGTGAGCTTCGATTACTACTTACACGACACTCATAATAATATCTCTTAAGACTCTTAAATTATAACAAGCTGGAAAACGTTAGTTATCGCAATCGGGAAGCATATCGCAACTATTTCTACTTTTACATTAATTTGTATATCTACACTACTAATATAAAGAGAAAATATTTGTATTTTTGTATGTTTGTAATGAATAAACTCAAAAACTACTGGACCCTACGATTTAGATGAAATTTGGTAAGCAGATAGATTGAGACCCTGGGCAGGACATAGGATATTTTTTTATTTTGGAAATCATCCCTTAAGGGGGGGGAAATGAGTATGAAGTTTGTATGGGGAGTCAACTTAGGCACAAACCCGAGCGAGCGAGCGAGTGAGGGTGAGTAGATAGTTATAAATAAGATACTATATATTAATATCTAACTCGGTGTCCCAATAATAGCTATATTATATTCATCATCGTCATTATCTTAAGGTAACTGGTTTTTTCTTCGATTTCGAAAATATCTGATTTGATATCTATTGTTAATGAAACTATGCGTTCCGTTTTTTTTTACTTTTACTTGGAAGTCGGTTTTTTATGGGATCGATTTTCATATTTTTCTCTTTTTTTTTATGTTTAGTTCATACCTAAATCATTTTTTAATAAAAAGTAACAGTAACGCGGTCGCGTGAGAAACCGAGTGAAGCGGGTTCAAATCAAGGGTCTCGCACCTCGGATATTTCAATGTATTCAGCCCTTTTTAACGTCCCACTGCTGGGCACGGACCTCCCTTCAATACGAGGGGGATCAGGCCATAGTCCACCACGCTGGTCAAGTGCGGGTTGGCGGACTTACCATGTCTTTCGAAAACTTGCTAAGTTCTCTAAGAAAATATCAGAGGTGCGAGACCCGGGATTTGAACTCGCTTCACTCGGTTTCCCAAGCGAGCGCGTTACCACTGGGCTACCACTGCCTTATTTTTTTTTATTTGGATATTTCAATGTGCGAATCATTTCCAATACTGTGTCATTTCCAATATCACTTGTCTTATGGTGAAGGAAAACATCGTGAAGAAACCTGCATGTCTGAGAGAACCTAGCAAATTTTCGAAAGACATGTGCAGCACAACACTACACATTATGCACAAACAGCAAATCTCGCTACTATTGTTGACTTTGACATTTATTTTGGCGGGCTCCGCTGAAATACATAGTTCTTTAGTTGTAGTTTGACAGAAAAAAAATATAAAATTATATAAAAACTTCTTTATAACCACCATAAGCTCGATAAATCTGTTACTTGAAAATAATATATAGTAATTCACTGGTAATATAGTTAACAATAAATAACCCGCATGATGCCCTTAAGCAAAGTGGTCTCTTCCCGTCAGACGGACAATTGCTTGCAACGTTTTATTTTCTCCTTTTTATTCACACACTCTTCGCTTGCAAAGAAATTGACTTTTATCATCTAATCTCATATATTAGCGATTCATTCAGTTCATTCATTCGTCTCTAGGTACGTTGCCAGCCGTGGCTAAAGACGGTCATGTTTTTGTAAATACATAAAAAGTAGTACAGCGAGCTTGTTAATTGAAGAAAGTTTAGAAATATAATAAATAGGTAAAACGCCTTATAGGGGATTATAAAATAATAATTATATATATATATATATATATATATATATATATATGTATGTATATATATATGTATGTATATATATGTGTATATATATATAAATATATATATACATATATATATATCAATAATATGATGATTTATGTTTAATATTCTTGTAAAATCCAAGTATGAAGTAATAGTTGTTGCACTTATTTCAATATTTTTATTATTTTAATAGACCAGTTAAGATTAAGCAATGTCTTTAATATAAATAAATTACTTATTGGTGTAAAAAACAAAGTGAAAAAGCCAGTAATTTTTTTGGGTTGCGTTCTGTCTGGATAAATAACAAGTATATACATATAATATACGTTTTAACGTTTAGTATAGATTTCTCAGAGATGAGATATTTTTCTGCAGTAAAAGTATCCCATATGTTGACCGGATACCTTAAGCTATCATCATACTAAATTTCATTAAAGTCTGTTCAGTGGTTTTCTTATGATGCGTTCCCGGATAGACAGACAGACAAAAATTCTAAGAAATAGAGATTTTGCCTCTGTATCGATAATAATTACTATTTCAATAAGATTTTCGAAAAAATATTTAATGTACAGATTTGGCTCAGAATTTTCTTATACGCATAGATTATTATGTATATTGATAGCGTTATTGATAATTTATAAGCAGTTATTTTATTTTACAGTTTTCACAACGTATGGTACCTACTTGTATATTACAGAAAAGATAAGGGTGAAATACAGTCTCCGAACAGAAGGGATAATGATATAAAATTAAACTCTGAAGTAAATAGATATATATGTATTATTATTTGTAGAAGTAATCGAACCCACTATCTATGTCGTTTTATTCAGTGTACTCATAAAATTGAATTCTCTATCTTTATTATATAGGTAATAATCGTTTCAAAGAAATCTAAACATTAGTTTTGCATATCAATTTATAATTTTTACGCCAATTTCATCGTTTACGTGTACATTTACGTAATTCGATCAATTATATCTACTACAAGGCCAGAAGTATACACGGTTATAAAATATCGATCATAGCCATTCACATGCCTGTTGACTAGGAAATCCTGTAGCATGGGAATTAAAAGCTTTTTTCAAGGTTAAAGAGGAAATCTGGCCAATTTCCTTAAGTTATATTCCATAGAGTTGGTATAGGTATATTTTAGTAAATTACTTTTGTAAGGTTGGGTTAAGAACCCAGGACCTTCGAATCTGCAGACGTACATGCTAACCACTGGACCACCGAGGCAGTTATCTATACATAAATAGGCAAAGACAAAACAGCTCAGTACCTTTTTCTCGTCTGTTTGTTTGATTTTCTTTTTATTTGTTTAGTAGCTGTTGATGAGCTATAGTGTTATTAATACAGTATATAAATATGGTTGAATTTGCGTTAGCTAAAATAAGCGCGGGGCCGACGGCATTAAGTTTTCTTTGGCGTGATGAGTGAGAGATGTGAGTATACCTAATACCTACCGTTAAAATTTTAATCTTACTAATCTGTATAAATATGTGAAAGTTTGTGAGTATGTATGGATGTTTGTTACTGAACGCCTGAACGGATCTGGATGAAATTTGGCGCAGAGATAGATTATAGTCTGGAATAGCACAAAGGCTAGTGGGATAGATTTTATTCTATTTTTTGAAGCGAGGGTGAGCCACTAGTAAAATATGGACCGCTACTTAAAATTTCTATAAAATCCAAACACTTTTGGGCCAGCTCGCGATTTGAACCTAGGTCCTTATAATATACAATCGCACATGCCAGTCACTTGGCCTATGACGCACATAGCGCAGGTTATACTTACAAAGCATAACCTATGCTAGAATATGCAAGCCTTTTAAACAAAACTATCTTTTCGGATTTTTTCGCGGATTTATTTGGATTTTTGGTTCCCGACGTTTCGAAAAGATAAAAATATTTTATTTAGAATGTCAAATATTCGCGTAAATCTAAGAAAGTATAATAATGCAAGCCAACAAAAGTAGCACTTCTTAACTGTCACTATATTATATAGATACAGGGTTATTAAAACCAGTTGACATCTGTACAGATATTCTTACACAAATTAGATAATAATTTCAAAACGAACGCCATAATTTCCCGGTTCTCGTTAAGTAATGTTAATATTATAGCTTTTGATTTACTTATAGAATAGTTAAGGAATGTGTTTCGAATTTGCGTTAAGAAACTTTAGCGCAATGCTTGGATCAGTTATAGTCTAAGATCCCGATCTATGTGGTGGACCTCTCACTCGTTTTCCAGGCGAAATATATTTTTTAAACCATAAAACGTATTAACAAACACGAACCAGGGGAGATGTCACCAAAAATATGCTCCAGGCTATTTTTTATTAAAAAACCTCTAGTCTAGAAAATTTTGGTATAAAAATCATATATTATTTATATAATAAAATATGATGCTATACGAGCAAATAAGTACTTCAATTTACTTATTTATAGGTATTCAGTCAGTATTTGTCAGGTAATGTAGATTAAAAAAAAACTCCCAACCGTACGATGGCATTTTCCAAAAGGCTTTTACTTTCAACTGATACTAAGTTGTCACATAAAAAAAGTTCTTGTACTTTAAAAAAAATCTATAATTTTTTTTTATCAAAATTGGCCTGAAGATTTTTTTGTGACACCCCCTGGATCGTGTTTGTTAATATATTTTATTGTTTAAAAAATATATTTCGCCAGGAAAAACAACGAGAGATCCACCATATAGATCGGGATCTCCTACTATTAGACTAGTGTAATATGGATTGGTCAATTCAGAATGATACATTAACATAGATTACTGTTGTTAGAAGAAGTTGATCGTTTGTAATTAATGAAACGTAACGCTAAAGGAAAATGGACCTTTGCATTATACTATAAAGCACAAAATTGAATACAAGTATTTATTTTTTACTACGAGCTTTCATTTAACTTATTCCTTTGTATGTAAATGAATGATAATATGAGAAAGTGTTTCAAAATATCTATTTTAACACTTAATATTTGTAAGATTAAATTGATCTCGTTCAAAAAAAAACTATAACTTCTTATCTGGCATAAAAAAGCTTTTTAAAAGACTTCAAATCATGTTAACAAACAAAAAAATGTATATCAAAAGTTCTTTTAAGTTAAAGCTTTAATGAATAACTATATAAGATAATACATACGTTAGTATTCTGCCAGCTTCCGGATTCCGGTAGATGTCGCACTTGTGTAAAGGACGAGAGGGATCTCCCGGGATAAATTGGCCTGTTCTCTCGCACAAAGCACGGTGTATTTGGAACTGCAGTATGGTGCTAACGAAGTATCTGTAAAGAAAATGTCGTATTAATTTATATTTATTACATCTTATATACTTAATAGAAGAATATTTATATTATAGCTTTTTAAACGATATTTAGTTGGTATGATGCTAAGTGTTATACGTCTAAAATATCGTTATATTATATATTTTTTTACTTTGACGTGAATTAAACGGTGACTTGTAATGTATTTTCTTTCAATTCTACTATTTATTTTGTATATAAATTTTTTAAAACTGCAAACAAATTAAAGATCCTTAATATTTTGTTATTTAAAATTAATAATTTCTATTAATAATGAAATAAATATTTAATAATAATTACTGTAAATACTAATTTATGTATATTTTTTTTATATTAATAACCACGGAAGAGAACATTGTTTCTTATCTTCCGTAAGTTAAAGCTACGTGTACTTGTAGTAGACTATTACAATGAAGTTATTTTTTTTTAATTTCACTAACACAAGCATCCTCGCAAGAATCGAACTCTGTTTTCGTTAAAAAAGGTTATAACAATCGTATTATTATTTTTTAATATTATAAATGCGTAAGTTTGGATGAATGTTTGTTACTCAGTTACGCCAGAACGGCTAAATAAATCTGGATCAAAGGCACAGAGATAGATTATAGTAGATAGGTAGGACGAACCCGAGCGAAGCGATGGTGAATCGCTAGTTATACATAATTCTAAAGTGTCATCCAGAATTTCTAACAACATGAGGATGCAAACTAAAGCAAGTTATATCTTAATAACCCACATATCTATTGATTTAGCAATTTATCGTATTATATAACGGCAATGCCTGTCCAATAATGCGCTGTTTGAATTTGCAATGGATACGCGGTAGGTAATATGACTAGGGTAGGTATAATTTTTAAGCAGCAAGGACCCTTAATAATTATTAGCACAGTGTAATTTCAATATAAAAGCTCGCTTTGAATGAATGAATAACTTTATTGTACACCCAAAAAGAGAAAAGAAAATACACAAAATATAGAAGAAGGTACAAGAGGCAGCCTTATCGCTAAAAGAGCGATTTCTTCCAGGCAACCTTTAGGTGTAGGAAATAGTACTAAGATAGAAGGGGCACGAATAACAAATAAAGAGACAGTAGAAAGAGTATATATTTATACATATATGTATTATTCAAATATATAATACAAGTAAAATATAATGAACTAATAACTAAATACTATAACTACATACATAAATACTATACATATATTAAACATATATAAATATAAAATATAAAAAGGCAAATTTAGCAAGAATTATACTAAAGTAAGAATAAGAATAGATACCAATTTAGATTCATTAGGACAATCCTGAAAAATTGTTTTTCGTGGATACCTTACTTTTGCTATACAGACTAATCAGTGGGCGACATAAAACGTATCGATAGTTTAATAATATATAGTTTGACTATATCGTAAATTTTAGGGACCTATTTGCATATGCTTCTCTATTACTACTGGAATTAACATTTAGTTTGTTTCGTATTAGAAACCTTATTCAAAAAACTCTAACTCTATATTGAAATTTTGTATTTTGTTTTCAAAAGAAAATCGAGTAAATATCAAAATGTGATCAAAAAATATCAGAATATGATTCGTAAAAAATATATGATTAAAAAGTCATTTCAATATTTCTTTACACTACTCTTGTATATGCAAGAGTTTGTTTCTTTGTTTGCTTGTAACTCCCTCACGTAAACGGCTGGACGGATTTTGATGAAATTTAGTACACAGATAGGTTATGAGCGTGAGTAACGCATAGGCTACTTCGGAGTGAGGATAAATCGCTAGTCTATACATATAATAAAATTCTAACTGAGTCGAATCTGTACATTAAATATTCTTTGGAAAATCTTATTGAAATAAACATTATTAATAATAGAGGCCAAATCTATAGTTTTTAGAGTTTTTGTCTGTCTGTCTATCTGTGACGGCATCACAAAAAAACCACTTAACAGATTTTAATGAAATTTGGTATGATTATAGCTGGGCATCCGGGTCAACACATAGGATACTTTTTACTGCGGGAAAATATCTCATCTCTGAGAAATTTATACTAAACTTTAACACCTACTTTACGGAAATAACATAACCACATATCATTCACAAATGTAATAAAAATTACTATAATTGTTGACAATTGCGATAACATAAATTATACCAATTAAAGTTGACTGGCCTTGTCCACCTTTCATGGATACTTTGTACTTTTTAAGAGAATACTTCTTTGTTTATTTTCATTTTTATAGTTTACTAGCATTGCCCGCGGCTCCGCCCGCGTTCAGATGACCAAAAACTAAATTCTTAGGTTTTACATATTAGAATACTCATACATTGTAGTTTTACTTTAATAATAATAATAAATAAATATGTTGGGACTTTAACACACAGCACCATCTAGTTCAATGGTAAGCTACGAAACTTGTGTTATAAAAACCAGATAGTTGATACACTACACATATATAACTTTAAATACATACATATTATAAATATAAACACCCATGACTGGAGTACAAACATTCGTGCTCATCACACAAATGAATGCCCCCAGCGGGACTAGAACCCGCAACCGCTGGCACAGCAAGTAGGGTAACTACAAACTGAGTCAAACGTATCGTCAGAATTGAACCTATGACAATATTACAAAAGCATAGAAATATAAGAAGACATTTAATACTCCTCTAATTTAGCAGCAAGTGGATTTTGACAAAGTATTGCCATAAAAACTTTCAAAGATCTCGTTATTATAACCCTAAAGTCATAAAAGCTTATCAGTTACATCATAACAAAAAAATTACTTAATAACGGTTAAATATAAAGAAAACAAGTTTACAAAATGGTTCCTATTATTATGATTGCTCTGTATATGATCGGAGATATCTCGCCAGCAATAAATGCCCATCTAAAGAAGTATATATGTACAATTATATAATTTATTGAAGCAAGATTTAATACTGTTTAGAATCAAAGTTTTTATTTATTTATTTAGCATAGAAAAATATATTAATATTTTTATATTATTTCTCGTTATGACTTTATATTTATTAACTAGATAGACTTGCTTTGCTCTTTGTGTTGTTGTCACGTTACTAGTACTATGTAAGGGTCAATTAATTATAAAAAATATTAAAATAATATGTTATATCTCACGTATAAAAATCTCGTGTCACGACGTTTGGTCGTACTCCACCGAAACGGATCGACCGATTTTGATGTTTTTTTTGTATATTTGGTAGGTATGAGAATAGGCCGTAAAGCATTTTTCACCCTCCTAACCCCACCCCCATTTTTTAATCGCGATTATAGTATTTTTGTATGAACAATATTATATACATACATACATAGCGACGAACTCGAGCGCAGAAAGGGTGAGTCGCTGTATAACATAAAGCCAAAGTTTTTTTTGTAGATTGAACGCGAGCGTAGCCGCGGGTTTTGCTAGTTTTACTACATAAAGTTAAAAAAAAGCAATACATAGGTCAATAACATAAAAAACGACACATATTAAATCATCTTGAAATAAAAAGTTAGTAGTCGTGTCGGAAACGTATCGTCAAATATAAATAACACATTCACTTACACACGTCAGGATGGTTTCTTCATAAGAATTTGTTAATATGATAAATTAAACTAAATAGCTTTAAGGTTGAGGCCAGCGAAAATTGAGCAGTGGCCAGATTACGAAATGATGTGCGGCCACAAGATACTACATATTTTAGTTACAAAATTGTCTCAAACCCATGCAATTAATATTACGTTTGAAAATTGTTTTTTACATGTTGAAATATATCTACTGGTACAGAAACTTTTGATTATAGTAGGGGAGCCCAAGAGGGGATTTTCTGTAGTTACTCGAGCGCGGCAGATTAACATAAAAGAGGCAAAAATCATCATAAACTTTATAGTCGATTTTTGCCTCTTCGGCTTGTGCAAATCGGCAGATTATTGAATTGGACACTTTTCAGGATGTGACTAGCCTACCACACCTTAATCTGACGGTTTCAAGTATTTCTACCTTATCAAAACATTTTTTAAATATTTTAATCGGCTTCCCTAGATGCGCCCCTTTATATAGAAGACTTATATTATGGTGAAAGTACTCAATAGAGTGCAAGGTAACGTCTTTTATGTTAATCTGCCGCGCTCGAGTAACTACAGAAAATCCCCTCTTGGGCTCCCCTACTATTAAGTACCTGCTTGCTATATACAATATACTCGTACATATAATAATCTCAATTCCCAATACTTCAAATCGAAATTTACAGCATTTAAAGGACTTCTTTTAGAAAGTGACGAAAAGTTCAAGCTTAGTTAGGGTCGTAATATTATAAGCGCACTTACGGGGAAGAAAAATGTGAAAATGCGATAATTTATCAATACATAGTCCATTTAATACATATTTATATCTCTATTTAAGTGCTTAAGATGCTGTAATAGCTGTTAAAGATTAGATAATCGTTTGTCTCTTGGATCATCTATAAATGATGAATTTATTATATTTCATCTTATCAAATGTAAAAAATACGTAATCAGGAACTCAAAAGTAGGTTTATTACTACCACTAGTAGGTAGGTCAGGTAGGTCTTGCTTAAGAACCATTTTGAATTATTTTCAGATGCGAATCATTTTCAACATGCTTACCGCTTTAAAATAGCGCAGCGTGAAGAAAAGTAATAACTGATTCCCCTCCTTGAGGAGTTCAGCAGTGGTTTGGTAAAAAGCTGAATTTTTATTTAAAATTATCATTACTATTGAACATTATTTAAAATTTCAACAATATATATATATATATATGCATAGAATTTACTTATCTAATCTATATAAAAAAAAATCAAGAGCTACTAATAAAAAAAAAAAAACGGTTGACAAACAGAGAAAAAACTACTAAACTGCTACTACTGGTTTTTCTTTGCCTATTTATATGTAGATAAAATTAAAAAGGTAAGATTAATCTATAATAATCTAAACTAATATTATAAAGATTCAGAGTTTGTTTGTTTGAACACGCTAATCTCAGAAACAACTAATCCGATTTGAAAATTTATTTTTGCGTTAGATAGCGCGTTTATTGAGGAAGGCTATAGGCTATACGGGTATTTCTCCAATAATATTTGGCATGTCATAAGAGTATGTTGATAGAGCCAAAAATGGAAAAAAAATTTTGGGCCAGATTAATCAGATGAAGGACGCAATCTCGGAAAAATACCCATATATCATCATGCTACTACCAATGGGAGCGGAGCAGTAATCATAAATGTCAACAAATCAGGCAGACTTCCATACATTATTCTAAAACTGATGTTTATATAGAAAGTTTGAACGCGGGCGAAACCTCGGGTACTGCTAGTAAATAAAGAATTTATTAGGTTAGAACTTTAGGTTACATAAGCTACGTAATGTTTGTTTCATAGTGTCACTAGGTCACTTACACTCATCGTAAATATTTGAAGCAACTCGAGCGCAATTTAAAGCTTAAACGATCCGTAAAGTGCGTGATTCTAAGTCGTTTGCAATAAATTACGCTAAATACCTATAAATTTGCATAACTATGTTATTTTGATTTATTTGGTAATATTTTTGGTAAAATTAATAATATTTCTTTTACTAAATATTACACTTAGGGGTTTGATTTTTGTCTTATTTTTTTATTGAATTATCTAGAATCCTAAAGTTAATGTATTAAAAAAAATAAGAAAAAAATACAAAGTATTTATATTGTGTGATAAATAAAAAAAATACCTTTACACGTTTACCTAACCATACATAATAGGCAAAATTGAGGTTACCAAATATAGATAATGTAATGTAGGTTGAATGTAGAGAGTTATGTTGAATCTCTATGACTAAGCACTATTTATTCCATAAGACATACACCGTGGTATATTATACAGCGACTCACTCTCGTTTCGCTTCAGGCTGGACAAAAACAAGTCTATCCCACGGGAACCGTATATTTCTCCGGGATGAAAAGTAACTATGTGCTATTCCAAGGTATAATCTATCTCTGTGCCAAATTTCATCCAGATCCGTTTAACCGTTCTGTTGAGAAAAAGTAACAAACATCTATACATACTCACAAACTTTCACATTTATAATATTAGTATGGATTCGTAGTATTCGACGAAATAAAATGGTATCAGGGTTAAAATTGTAAATTAAACATTTTTTTTTGAAAATAAAACGAACGTGGATTAGAAATATTTGTTGGTGCTTATTTGTTCGAACTACCAACGGGTACTTGTTATACTTAACAGTAGAAAGTTTTTTTCCTCCATTTTAAAAACAAGGTTTTATTTCCATGTTTTATATACATAAATAGATAAAATACATAATTTCGGCTTTTTTATAAGTAAAATTTGCATTTTATACCAATAGGATTGACATTTAAAAGTCAATAATCTATACTAATACTATAAAGAGAAAAAAATGACTTTTTTGTATGTTTATATGTTTGTTTGTAACGGATAAAATAAAAATCTGCTGTATGAAACTTATCATACCTATCTATATATGTATAGTCTAACTATTTCGTAATATTCGTAATAACCGTTAAAACTTACTTAAGCACTGTGATGATAACTTTAGTACAATTATTATTATAGAAGCCACATCAATATATATATATATATATATATATAATCATTATGTCTACATAATAAATTTAGATGGGACTTTTTAATGTACAGATAATATTCTGAATTACTTATTTATTTTGGGGTATCAGGATTTATACTGTAAACTAAGCAGATATTAAATTGCAACCGAAGTCGCAGGCAATACCTAGTAAAAATATTTCATTAAATAACAACTTGTTTAATCTTAAACACAAAATATCATAAATTAGAATTAATCATAATAAACAAATGCATATTTAATCACTTAAGTCAATATTGCATTACGTATTTAATATATGTATAATATAAAAATATATAAAATATAAAATGTTGGGACATTAACACACAGCGCCATCTAGTTCCATGGTAAGCTACGAGGCTTGTGTTATAAATACCAGATAGTTGATACACTACATATATATATAACTTTTAAATACATACATATTATAAATATAAACACCCATGACTGGAGTACAAACATTCGTGCTCATCACACAAATGAATGCCCCCAGCGGGACTCGAACCCGCGACCGCTGGCACATCAAGTAGGGTCACTACCAACTGAGCCAAACGTGTCGTCAGAATATAAAATAAATAATATATAAATTAAAAACGAAATATGCAGAAAATTTAGCATTCGAGTTTTTATCATGTAAAGTAATCAATCATTTGGATACTTGTCTAGATCGCAGTTCACAGTATACTGTGATACCATTTATAAATGGGAACAACAATGGGATTTGGGAACAATTTTTGCCATATCGTTATATAATTTGTAATTGTATTTCAACCCTTTTTGCCAACCCACTGCTGGGCGCAGGGAGGCCCTTCGAAGTGAGGGGGATCAGGCTATAGTCCACCAACCACCCTGCTGGCCTAGTGTAGGTTGGCTGACTTCACATGTCTTTTGAAAACTTGCTAAGTTCTCTCAGACACGCAGGTTTCCTCACAGCGATTTCCTTCACCGTAAATAAATTAGTAGTAATCATTTTAATTAAAACGTTAAATAAAAATTCTCTGCTATATTCCTACGTAAACAAAATGTATCCTCATCCTCAAAGAGAATTGTTTTTTTTTTGAAATCTTTTTTGTTCATTGCTTTCAGATGACAAACTTAAAACGCATGTTGTTTCGTTTACAAAACTACCTACTCTTTGGTGTGCGTAAGTTCGAATTTGTGTTTAGACAATTTGAAATTACGATTTTTAAATTTGATTTTGATTGAATTTGATTTATTATTTGGTTTGATTTAACATTACATGTTTATGCCACTTTTTGAAGAAATTTGTTAGGAAATGTGTATAGTGCCACAAACTTATTTGACCCGGTGGCCAAAACTGGAACTACATGCCGCCATTTTGAAATTTTTGATTTTGTTGTCGAGTTTTGTCTTGGAATCTAGCCTCTACATTACCCAGATGGATTATCTACATCATCTATACAGATAAATAAAATTGAAGTGTCAGTTTGTAATGTCAAAATAACAGCTTTTTACTAAACGCATGTGAAATTGTATACGGTACTTATAAGAAAAAAACAATTTTTAATATTTTATCTGTCTGTCTGTCTGTTCCGGCTAATCTTCGAAACGGCTGGACTGATTTCGACGGGACTTTCACTGGTAGATAGCTAATGTTATAAGGATTAACTTAGACTACTTTTATTTTAGCAAAAGAATTAAGGTTCTGGAGGAGGGTAAGTCGCTTGTCATAATTATATTCATTAAAATATAGTTCATTAAAAACATGTTCTGATAATTAATCCTTTTTATATCATATTGTATAATAATAACTAAAAGTTAAAACAGCAAATTAACATTTCGCTTGAAGTTGAAAACTGCGGAAATTCTATTTACCGGTAAAACTAAATTCAACAACAGCGACGCCGTTTCCGGGTTTTTCCCGGCCGGTTCCGGGAGTTTGTGGCACTATACCTATGTTTTTATACATATACCTATCAATGCTTCCAACATACTTTCATATTTTTGTTTATAGAGCAACTTTAACCGTTCAATAGAAATACTTATATATTCGTATTTTTTTAATTTAACTTTTTTAAAGATATTTTACATTGTAAAACTATAGTGAAAATTATAGTTAGAATAATTTATGGACAATTTTATAATTGTAAGATTCAATATCTCTTTTATTCCGAATCTTATTGCATAAGATTTTTATGATAGACACCGTTTCTAATAAATGTTTTTTTTCTTTTTTTTTTGCAAATAAAATCATAAATTACCTACAACAATTCTACAACAGTCAAGTCCTGGAGACGATCACATTCCCAAGGCGTGCTGTTTTCTATAAAATCATTAATTGAGAAGTTTCTATGAATACGCTATGGAATTATAATATACATAAATGCTAATAAATCAGTGCAAATTTTTTGAAATCTATCAATAAATGAATGACAAATTAATATAAACGGTCGTTCAACTTTAAAGTTCCATAAATTGTTCATTTTGTTGAGATATTTTAATAAATATTTCATATTTTTGTTATATTTTAATATTTTTTTTATAATTAATACATTAAAATAAATCTCTATTGTATAACCTTCAACAGACAAACGGTATTTAACATTATTTTAAAATTAGCTATATCGATGTTGATGCTAGAGAGCAGATTAGCTAATATGCATTAAAACCAAACTAGAAGGTCAGATATATATATATATATATATATATATATATATATATATATATATCAGATATATATATCAGATATATATATCAACCAATATAGAGCAGGTACTTTATAATAGAAACGGAAACAGAAGCATATAATAGCAATCTTTAATCTGCAAGAGAAATCAACGTTCTCGAGCGCAGTGACAAACCTTTGGCAATCAGATCAACTTGTAAGGGTCACATGTTGATATATTAAAGGGGAGAAAATACATTTTTTCGCCACATTTAATTGTTTTCTGTGCCGCTTTATTATCTACGTTAATAATTGTGAAAGTAACTCGAATTGTCTGTTTGTTATTTTTAACGTTTAAAATGCTGAACAGATTTCTATTAAATTTAGATAGTAATTAATTTTTAACTTTTATTACTTTTTAAATATTGTTTACAGTCAACGCTATGTACACTTGTAATAAGATATACATATCAGGTACTTTATTTATACTACTAATAAGATTATCAGAAATGTTTTATGTGTGTATTGTTAGTGTGCTTTATAAATAAAATCAAAAAAAAAAATCGTAAGGATATAGGTATACGATAGCATACGATCGTCCACATGATACATCATGGGGACAATCGTATGCTACTTTTCATCCTCGTCGCCACTAAACTAGTGAATTGCAAGATAAGGATGGCAGAAAGAGCTAAATTATAATATTTTTCTGTATTAGACCACTATCCCATGAGAATAATCCATATACCAGGATAAAAAGTAGCTTATATCACACTCTAGTACATTTTCATTTAATGTAAATAATCTTGCAGCAAACCAAACACTTTCGCATTTAAATTGTAAGTAAGGATAACTTCATTATAAATTATTTATACGAAGAACAACTATGAGATTATATGAATAAGTAGTTCAATATTTATTTACTTCTAGAAAATATTTCTTCCTTATTCATGTATTACTTGTTCTTTACAAATATATGAAAAAAAACTTACCTACTCGTTTATTCGACGTTAAAGGCTATTTTATTTTAAAATATCACAAATATTTGCCCAAAAATTATACCGAATATTTGTAGTTTGCCCCTTTGAGAAAAGTCCACTGGCATTTCACGAAGCCATGGCTGAATTCGCTCTTATTCTAACTATCCTTGAACTATTGTTATTGACTTGAACAGCTATAATATAAAGCCATTTTCTCAAGCGGACATTTGTTTACTTTTAATTATAAGTTTGTATCTTTTTATCTATACTAATATTATATAGAGGTAAAGTTTGTGAGTTTGTGACGTTGTAGGGGTCTACTGAACCGATTTAGATGAAATTTGGTAAAAAGATAGTGTGAGACACTGGGAAGGATATAGAATACTTTTTATCCCGGAAATCATCCTTTAAAGGGGTGAAAATGGGGATGAAAGTTTGTATGGGGAATCAACCTAGGGACGAACCCGAACGACGCGAGGTTGAGTCGCTAATATTAATGCTGATATAAATCACATTATAAAAAGATAAGCTAATATAATGGTACAGTCGGCAAAAGAACACTTCCTACTGCGGCAATAAAAAATAACGACAAATAATATTCAGTAATTTTGACAATATATTGTTTTATCTTTAAATATACCTATTTAATATTACTATGTTACATTATTATAAAATTACCTACATTTGTCTGTGATTTATCTATCCGTGTCTATTATTCTCCTTCTGATATACCATCCCTTTCTTTCTGAAATATTGAGAAAGGATGTTTGTTGGTGTGTTTTTTTTGTTTTGACAGCAACGGACAAATAGTTCGATGTTCTTCATAAAGATGTGCCTGAGAGTGCTTTATACCGAATTATGAAAAGAAAATTTCAAATAACCCAAGGAGCCAAGGTTATTAATTACAGTTATATTATTTTAACTGTTCGATAATAAAGCACTTTTTTATATCTCTTAACTAAATCACAATCTTAAAAATAATAATTACTTTGCGTAGTATGTGTCATACTTGTTACAATCTGTTTGATAAGAATAAATTGAGGAGGCAATTTATGTATTTGTAATTAATTAAAACTAGCGACACGCCCTTGCTTCAGACTTCCCTTCTTAGATAGACTATATATTATATTTATATAGGTACAAAAGAAACGGTACTGAGATTTTCGATTCTTAGCTAATTTTTTTTCGGTTTTCCCCTATTTTTTTATACTTAAACCACCCCTGACACATTGCTAACGAAACAAAAAATGTATTATTCAAGTATATCCAGCCATTTTTTGAGTTTTAGCGAGATTAACGAACGGCAATTTTTTTTTCGACATATATATCTATACATATAATAAAATTGTAAGTAAGCCGAATCTGTACATTAAATATATTTTGGAAAGTCTTACCGCATCACAGAAAAACCACTGGATGGATTTTGATGAAATTTAGTATGGTGATAGCTGGTTATCCGGGTCAATATATACGATACTTTTTACTGCGGGAAAATATCTCATTTCTGAGAAAAAAATACAAAAATTGCAACGTAAGAGTATACTAATATGTAAAACCTAAGAATTTGATTTTTGATCATCTAAACGCGGGCGGAGCCGCGGGAAATGCTAGTGTACATATATAGAAGAAATTCAGTATAACATATTATGTTGAAATATCTCTTTGTATTTTTAACTCTTATGAGGAAATGATTTTAAATTAAATTAAAAAAAACTACAATTAATTATTGTTATAGATTTTTTTTATGAAAACATTAGTTTTTTGTAAAAAAAAACGTAAACGCTATCTGTTTTTATTATAAAATATTAAATTTAATGACTGAATTAGGTTAGTTTTTATTTTGTCTGCATCCGCCATATACTTATA